GAGAGGCCTGGAAATGGCCCTTGTGGAGATGGGCAGGCACATTGCCAAAGCAGCAGCATACGCCGGCCAGGCAGCGCGGGGTGCCTGTGTGAGGTGGGAGACTGTGAACACATGATGAAAGCAAGCTGCCTGGAACGGCTCAAAGTGGAGGCTAGTAGGATTGACGGGCAGGGTTCCTGACAACTTGCCCGACTAAGGATGATTCTGGAATAGAAGAAGGAATCTTTATAACTCCATCGGCCAGATCTCCGCCACTCCTGAACTCAGCCGACCGGGATTTTACCCTCTTTGAACCAAGTCCGTGTTAAAAGGAAACTGGGAAACTGGTGTTTACTCACGTCACATGGAGGAGAATTTAAAATCCAGCTGTCGTGTAGCTTTCATATTCACGTATGAGGCGGAACAGATTTGGGCTGCGTAGACAGGAAGCCAAATGGGGGACAAGGAGGGAGCTGATAACCAGGTGCCAATTGGATGCTTTTGTTTCTCATGTCCTAGGTCGGGACTTCTCTCACGATGAAACCTTGGATGTCCCAACACAAGTTGAGCTGCTGATCAAACAAGCAACATCCCATGAAAACCTCTGCCAGTGCTACATCGGCTGGTAAGCGGCCTGTCAAAGAATCTGTTCAAATAAGCAGTCGGGACCCCACCCTGTGCCCCAAACCCAGAGTTGCAAAAAAAGATTTGAGGGAGGGTATCCATAAAGGGAAATCATGTTTCAAATCTCTAAAAGTTTGTATTCCCTGTGTGTGCTTTTTGTTCTGAAAAGGGGAAACTGGAGAAATATGGATATGTATTTGGAAGGCAGACACCAAAACAAATTAAAATTACATTTAAAAATGGTTTAGAAGAACAGGTGAGGCCCGCTTATCTGAGGGGGAGGTGTTCCTTTTGGATTTTTACTGTCAATTCAGAGATAACAGGAAGGGCAAAGGAAGAGAAGCCAGTGCAGTGACAGAAAGAAGGAGATGAAAAGACAAATTTATCATCGGGGATCGTAACCTCGAGGACCACTCCGGGGTCTGCTTTGATTAATTGCCCGAGGCATGCTTGAAGGGAGAAACTTGAGAGCCAGGGCGATGGGGACGTGTCCTTCTGGGACCACAGCAGGCATCAGCCTTGACTGGAAATGATGAGTGTGTCCTGCTCAATTAGTTGGGGGAGAGCTCAGGGAACGTCCCAGGGGTTGTCAGACCTTGGACTTTCTGTTTTCAGTGTATCGGCGTACAGCTTTGAAGAAGCCCAAGTTATTAAAATATTCCTTTTCCCTCTGTCTTCTTAGGTGTCCTTTCTGGTAACCGGCGGCCCAGACATGCCCACAGTATTTCTCTCGAGGCTTTTGTCCTCTGGTACACGCTTCCACTAAACTGAAACCATGGTCAGAAAGTTCAGCTCTGTTAATTATTTTGAAATGTAAATGAAAAGAACTACTGTATATTAAAAGTTGGTTTGAACCAACTTTCTAGCTGCTGTTGAAGAATATATTGTCAGAAACACAAGGCTTGATTTGGTTCCCAGGACAGTAAACACAGTAATACTACAGAAATCAAGCCATTGATTTGGGGGAACAGAAGATCCATAACTTTAGAAATACGGGTTTTGACTGAACTCACAGAAGAACTCATAAGCATCTGCTGACAGAAGGGCCTAGGCGATCCTCTCAACGTTGACACAGCAAACACAGCGCAGTCAGGAAGCCTCAGGTCATGGAGGACGCGAATCAGGATTCGGGACTACAAAGAAGCTGGGGAAGCTGGCTTCATTGCCTTCACCCATCTCATTACCTCACTGGTCCACGGACAGCAACAACAGCCTTTGCGAGCCAGGCCGAAATGGGTGGGAGAGGTCTGTCCACTGCCTCACCCGCGCCGCTGCGACTACACACTTCAGTCCAAGAGCCCAGCCACTGGGAGAGGGGGGTTTCTTCAGCTGGCTGGGCGGCCGCGGCTGAGCAGGTGCACAGAGGGGATCACCGCGCGGGGCGAGGCCCACGCTGGCCTTCGCCGGCACGGTTCTGGGATGCTTTCAGTGAGGTCTGATCGCTCTGTGTTTAGAGCCAGGGCTTGGAATTCGGGAATGGTGTCTTGGAGGTGCTGACACAGAGAGGAAAGATCTAGTACATGTTGGAAATTAGAAGCAAAAGAAATATTAACTAAGTGCACAAAGTATAAAGTGTAGCCATGTCTAGACACCATGTTGTATCTGAAAATTTCTGTGCCAATAAATGACATCAGAATTTTAAAACCACGTATATGAGTGGCTTTTTATTGATAGTTATTAGTCAATTCATAAAAGAAGCAGTTATTCCTTCAACATTGACCAGTCACTAACACTGCACTCTAGGGACCACGCAGGACAAGGACCCACACGACGCGTCCCCGTCCTCAGGGTGTTCACAGGCCAGACCAGCTGGCGGCAGCACTGTGCAGGGACTGAAATCCACCCACCTGAGGGCTGAGAGGCCGTGTGCGGGGCGTGAGCCCCAGGTGGGGGCGCTGATTCCTCTGGGCCAGCCAGGAAAGCCTCACAGAAAGGGGGACACGTGCCTGGGGTGTTAAAGGAGGAGTGGGAGTTTGTCAGATGAGGCAAGGGAGCACATTCGCAGCAGAAAAGAGGTGTAAAAGCACAATATCACACAGGAATGGCAAGTATTACTTCAACCATATTAGTTTTTTATATGCAAAACAGTAGTCTCACACAGTTGGACCTCGTAGTTCAGCATGTCTGGCTCAGTGGCCAGTGGGGAATAAAGGGTATAATAGGAAAAAGAACAATAGGAACTCAAGGGAGCCTGGAAAGTAAAGCTGGGCCAGACCAGCCGGCCTCACGGTCCAAGGGCACAGAGTTTGAACCTGTAAAGTTTTAACACAGTGAAGCAGAACTTGAGCAGTGCTTTAAAGAGAAACTGGTTCAAACAGGTGGAAAGACAATTAAAAGCTGCAAGGCCTAGGGAAAAGGCTGTTGCGATAATGGAGACAAGAGGACTGGAGTGGAGCTGGCTAGCACTACACAGAGATTCCTCTGCAGAGCATGCCTCAAGGGTTCTTCCAGAGAATATTGCTCTTAGTTGTCCAACTAAGTTTCTTTTTCTAAATTCTTGTACGCCACAGCTACCCAGTGAGAAATACTGAGTCATTATAACAGCTGTCCAAAGAACTAGTGCTAGGGGGACCATGAGGATTCTAAAGCCAGGAACTATTATTTTTTGGGAATTTGTATCCCCCAAATCCACCAAATCTGGCCCACACTGGTGCTCTGTAAACATTTGTTGGAGGACTCCTCTACTAAAGCCAAAGATGGATTTAAATCTCAATAGTGATGCAACAGTTTGAACCCTCACAGCTGGGAAGCCTCATACCTATCCATTTTAATCCTAAAATCAGCTATTTTGCTCCCCAAAATAGGATAGGATCGGGTTCTACCTGAAATAACCATCAACGATTCCAGCGATGTTACCACTCATGAAAAATAAAGGGCATGGCAATGAATGGACTCAGGAAAATGGGAGCCATCAGTGGTAAAGACATACTCCTTAGGACATAACTGTCCTTGGAATTAAGATGCTCGCTGAACAGGGAACTATATTCAATATCTTGTAGTAACTTACAGTGAAAGAGAATATGAAAATGAATGTATGTATGTTCCTATATGACTGAAGTATTGTGCTGTACACCAGAAATTGACACATTGTAAACTGACTATACTTCAACAAAAATATATTTAAAAAAGAAGAATCAAAAAAAGATGTTCCCTGAATCCAATGGGTTTTAAGTTGCATCTAAGCAAAATCTTCTGACTTTGTTGAAATGACTTACCAGAGGAAGGTAAGGTGCTAATGGAAGCCTTTAAAGACAGTCTATTAACCTATCAATCCAGGGTGGTTTCCTGAGACCTGTGTGAAGGGAAGGCCTTAAATCTCCTTGAGGCATCATTTAAAGCAGTTTCAAACCTCAACTCCATCTCCTCATACCTGCGTGTGTGACTTAAAACAAGTTATTTAATCTCTCTGTCTTGTTTTCTCCACTGAAAGTGTGGATAAGAGTCAGATCTATCCCGTAAGGCTGTTTTGAGGATGAGATAATCCACGTAAAGCACTCAGCAGAGCCTGACCTGTGGTTTTAGGTTGAAACATATGAAATAAGTACTCAAAATATGACTTGTTAAAATGAACTAAACTACTAGCCCTTTGTTCGGCCAGTTACCTGTGTACCTGAGGTACACAAATTGCGGGGAGGGGAAAGAACAAGTATTCTGCTACAGGATATTCTAAATAAGATCTAAATAAGATAAAAGCTAACATTAATTGAACACTTACTAAGCCAAACAAATGGTATTAAGGGTGTGTCACCCTGATCTTAGGCGAGAGGATACACCCTACAGAGCTCCCTGAATCCGCCCTTGAACTGCCTAATGCTGCCTCCCTCCTAACTAGAGCTCTTCCAGGCATTTAACAAAGTTCACAGCAAGTGCCTTAAGAGTAGTTCCAGCGGTGTGTATGGGGAGGAAGATCTGACCGGAGGAGTTCCAGAGTATTGGAGATAAGAACAGTGGGAACATATAGCCGCCTTTTCCAGTACTTCACCTATAAAGGGCAAGAGAAACGTGATGATGGCTGGAAAGAGGTGTGGGATGGACTGCTGTTTTTGTTTTGCCATTTTTTGGTGGGGAGAGAGGCGAGCATACTTGTAGGCTGTTAGGGATGAACCAGCAGAGGGGGAAAAGACAGAGACGCCAGAGAGGGGATAACTGGAGGAGCCACCATCAAGTGAGTGAAAGGGACACAGAACCAGAGCCTGGGAGAAGCTGGCTTGAAATAGAATAATTGGATCCTCCAGTTTCCACCGTAAATCACTGGGTTGTTGACATAAGAGATTAGAGAAAAATGTGAATTCCCCTGGGTGGGGCTCCAAGAGCTGATGATACCCCAACTCACGCTCCCCAGCTCGTCCCCAGCGAAGACAGCCTCTACACATGCGCGCTGCGCGCACGTCGCGTTGGCCGAGACACTCTCGCGAGAAAAGCCGTGCAAGCCGGAAAAATGGCGCCCCCCAGTCCCCGAGAGTCCAAGGCCCAGTCGGCCACGAGCGCAGCCAACTGGGCAGGAGACGGGGAGATGGTGCTGCCGGGCTTCCCGGACGCAGATAGCTTCGTGAAGGT